TAGGGGAATACAGATCGAGTTCACGGTTCGCTATACGCCGGAACAAAACGGCGTCAGCGAGCGCATGAATAGAACGCTTGTGGAAAAAGCTAGGCTGGAGGATTCCGGAATCAGCAAGGAATTCTGGAATTCGGCGATGCAGACTGCGGCTTTTCTGACGAACCGAAGTCCAGCGAGGGCGCTCGAGTCGAAGAAGACCCCACTCGAAATTTGGGAAGGCCGCAAGACGGATGTGAAGAAGCTGCGGGCGTTTGACTCGGATGACGTGACGTATTCATCGGGTATTCTCACAATGGCTACCGCGTGTGGGACCCACGGCGGAAAACAGTTGCTATCGTGCGTGATGAGATTTTCGTTGAAACTGGTGGCGTTTCCACCGGAGGAGGAGTTTCTGTTCTGGACTGTGGTTCAAGCGGTTCAAGTCACGATAACGTGCGAGTGCGTGAAATCGACGAAGAATCTGAAGCTGACAGTGACGATGAAAGTGAGGTTACGGATGAGGAGAATTTCGATAGTTGCGTCGATGAAACCATTCGTGATGATGAAGCAGAGGAACACGGTAGCTCACAGGATGAAGGCGAATGGCGGCAACAGAACCGCAAATGCAAGCGGTCGAGACGGACACCACGGCCGCAGCGAGAGTTCCGCCCTCCAGCGTGGCAGCAAGATTATAAGATGGATTACATCGGATTCGCTCTGAGTGCAGCCAATTACGTAGAGAATCTGCCGAGCACGCTGTCCGAGAAAATGGGAAGCAACCCTTCACGAGGAGATGCAAGATTCCGCAAGGTCGTGTCCCGATTATATGCAAAAAGGGTGTTCCGGCTGAAGCGGAGTGAAGACGGCGAAGAGGATCGCTTCAAAGCCAGGCTAGTAGTACGAGGATTCACGCAAAGGTATGGCTTTGATTACTCGGAAACTTATTCGCCGGTTGCGAAACTCGACACACTTCGCACTGTCCTGGCTGTAGTTAACCATGAGGAAATGGCAGTCCACCAGATGGACGTTAACACCGGCTTCTTGAACGATGCGATTTCGGAAAAAAAATTTCATGGTTCAGCCGGAAGGTTTTGCGTGTCGCTTGAATCGTTCGCTGTACGGCCTGAAACAGGCCTCCAGAGCATGGGACGAGCGGTTTCATCGCTTTGTCGAGAAGCTGGGATTCAAGAGAGCTGCAAGTGACCAATGCCTGTAAGTTCATCTTCCTGGTGCTGTATGTGGACGATATTTTGATAATCGGTTCACAACTGAAGGCGATTGAAGCGGTGAAGAGATTCCTGGCCGGCGAATTCGAGATGACTGACATCGGGGAGGTAAGGAGCTTCCTTGGCATGCAAATTGAGCGAGACGTCGAAAATAGACACCTGCGGATTAGCCAGCGCACTTTTCTGGAAGATCTGTTGCAGCGGTTCAACATGCAAGACTGGAAGCCAATTTCAACGCCAATTGAGTGTCGCTTGCGGTTGCTGAAAGGTGAAGAGTGCCATCGGACGGAGAAGTCGTACCGCGAGTTGGTCGGGTGCCTCATGTACTTGACATTGACATCGCGGCCCGATCTCTATGCTGCGGTCAATTTTTTTAGCCAATATCAATACTGTCCAACGGAGGACCAATCAGTCAACCATCAAAGTAGCAGAGGACGAAAGAGACACGGGTCGTATGAAGCATGTAGATGTGAAGCACCGCTTCGTGCGTGAGCTGATTCAGCGAGGACTAGTTGTTTTGCGCTACAAACCGACCGCTGAGCAACTTGCAGATGTCATGACCAAGGGATTATCACCAGGAGTGTTCCAGCGACATCGAGCAAGCCTTGGACTGGTGGTCTCGGGGCATTGAGCGAGGGTATTTTGGTGGACAATCCCATAGACACCACTACGTTCGACCTAAGCAGCGAACCCCCCTATGTGCGTATCTGTCATCAGCGTTGCCAATAGCAACATCAGTAAGGGCATCTTTAGCGGTGGTCTGATCTAGATTCAAATTTATGTCACATTTGAAACAGCTAAAATGAAATAGATCAAGCTAAAATAGATCAAACTGCGTGCGTACGCACCGGTTGGTCTAGTTTTGGCCGTTCTATTTCAAACGTCAAAACCCGAGCAAAGTCAACCATTTTTTACCGCGAAGTTGACCTCTGATGGTCGTTTCCGGATGAGATATGTAGCTTTAACAAAAAGCCTTGAACTGTTCGTCATTTTTAAAATTGCTTCCCAGTAAAATAATAATAAAAACCTGTATTTATCCACCTATGGTCGTATGTAATTTTTCTCGCATGATGTCGTATGTTGCGTTTTGGCTCATGTCAGAAACTGGCCACTTCCCTGGGGGTTCCTGAAAAATGCCCGAAAGTGGGCGAAGTAGTCCTGGGCACTATATTTGACTTCCATTGATCTTGTTTTTGAATTCAAGTGTGATTTGCTGTGTTGCATGATGGGTTTTGGGTCAAATCAGAAACTGGCCATTCCCCTGGAGGAACCCGGAGCATACCCGGAAGGGGCCAAAATGGTCCTGGGCACTATTTTTGACTATCATTGATTTTGTTTTTGAATTTATATGTGATTTGATGTGTCGCGTGATGGGTTGTGGACTGTGTCAGAAACTGGCCACTTCCCTGGAGGTTCCCGGAATATTCCTGGGTACTTTATTTTTGATAACCATTGATCTTGTTTTTGAATTCTCATGTGATTTGATGTGTCGCGCGAAGGGTTTTAGATTAATTCAAAAACTGGCCACTTCCCTAGGGGCTCCCAGAACATACCCTGAAGTAACCAAGGTGATCCGGTGTACTTTATTTCATTACCATTGATCTTATTTTTTTAATTCTCATGTGATTTTATGTGTCAAAAGATGGGTTTGCAATCTCCAGAACCGGTGGACCGAATCCAAAAGAATTAAATAGCGTCAAATGGGGCCACAAGAAGAAGAGTAAAACAACAGAACAAATCATGCAGAACAGAAGTGTCCTTTGAAATTTCCATCAGAAAATCCGGATGTTCCCTACCTGATCCGTCCCTTGCGATGCTGTTGCATTTGCGACGATGACGGTGCCGATAGCAACAGCAGCATCGGTAGTGCGATAGAGCTGGAACTCCGCCAGTGTCAACAGCAGTCAATTGTTTATCGCTAGATATGACCACTTTGATGGAACCGCCTTCGTTTAGGAGAAAATCTAGGAAAACATCGGTTTGTTTTGCAGAAAAAAATCCCAGCACCGAAAGGAAACAAAACATAACCTCGAGTAGAACAGCTGTCAAACTGGTTTGGCACAGTGCTTGCCTTGATCCAAATTTAGTTCAAAATAGATCAAGAATTATACTGGTTTAAAAAATTTACATTTTAGAACTAGTCTAAAACAAAATGTAGACCGCCGGTGCAAGAGCTCAGTCTGGATCTGTTCCAAAATTTTAGACCAAATCAGCTAATTGGACCGCCGCTAAAGATGCCCTAAGAACTTTTTCATTTTCGCTTTGTAAAACGGTCGTTCATGATTTATTCCGACAAGTTCGAACCATTTAACCCATTAATTATACCAGCCTAGTGAAAAGAGGCCAAATCAGGACAAAACAGAGCTGGAGTGTAGTGGCTTCTGATGAATGGTAGCAACCGCCTTCGCAAACATTATTTCTTGTACACATCTTTGTTGATAGTGCCGGTGAAACTTTCGGATTTCCGGCCGCAACTACATATGACCTGCCAAACCAAATACTTTTTAAGGAATTTTGAAAGTCTGGAAGCACTCGGCAACGGCATTTCTTTGAATTGCAATACAAAAAGTCAAACCCGGAAGCTGTTGAAAGTCTTCGAGCACGTATGTTTCGTCGTCCATTATGCTACAAGAAATTTTTTGCAATGCTCCTTAGCACCAATTTTTGCAGAGAAACTTTGCTTATCATTACGATTGGGCACCTTTTTCACTTTGTACGCCTTCAGCCCATGCCTCTGCTTCACTTTTTGTACATATGATTTTGATTTTCCAACTTTGCGAACCACATTACGAACTGAAAGGTTTGGATGTTTCTCAAGAATGGTCACCACCTTCTGGTCCACTTGTCGAGAGCAATACTCTTCAATTTGTTACGCTTTCAACCTTCCGATCCACAGTTAAGCGATGGTCAAACGATTTACACACACTAAGGCTGTGAACCATTTGTCGACTTCAATTTAACTCGTGGTTAAAAGTGACATTTCGAAAGTTATTTTCTGTGTTCGAAAATCCCTGTGCTGTCGATCGACCGGTTTTCGAAAAGAACTTAGCGAAGGTTGTCAACATTTAACTTCTTGTCTGTCAGAAGTAACCACGCTCGGATAGCAGGGTTAATCGATAACTTTTCATCTGTCAAATTTTAGCCAAAAGTTAATATAACCCACCAAACGTTTCGGAGCCTAAACACTCTTCGGCAGTTTTAGCTTTTTGGCGAGATCGCGTATACGCTAACTTGAAAGTACTCATTAATGGTTGAAAAAGACCCATTTTGAAGAAAAGTGGCTTAACTCATTAAATGAGTAAATTTTTTACCCATTAATGAGTATCTGTTACCCATTAATGAGTAATTGTTAATCATTAATGGGTAACAGATACTCATTAATGAGTAAAATTGTTTAATCATTAATGAGTTAAGCCACTTTTCTTCAAAATGGGTCTTTTTTTACTCATTAATGAGTACTTTCAAGTTAGCGTGTACCCGACAACGTTGAATTTTGCTGCCGTTCGTACAAAATGCGTTTGCGTACTTCCAGTTGATTCGAAGAATTGGGCGATCTTGGATCAATCTTTGAAAGATCGATCTTTTTCATCCCGAATTCCGATTCTTTGTTCACGAAAAGATCGAAATTAATGATTAACCAGTTTCGAGTTTTGGCAAGTACCAGTTATTGATTGTTTGTCTGATTATGCAATTTCGTTCGATTCCATACATTGTCAATATTTCGTTCTACAGTTTATTTCGATTACACGGAGAAATTTCAGTTTGTACTGTTGCAAAACCCGCAGAGACACTCACCTTCGATTTTGGTACCACGTCTTGACCTGGGTGTCACTCAGGCCCAGCTTGTTCGCCAGCTCCATCCGGTCCTGCACACTCAGGTACTTCTGCCGCTCGAAGCTCTTCTCCAGCGTCTGCAGCTGGTGGTCGGTGAAGGCCGTGCGTGCTTTCCGCTGCTTTTTACTCAGTCCCGACGATCCGCTCAGTCCCATTCCATTCTTTATGCTATTGCCGTCCTCGTCCTTGCCACCTGAGGAAAAAGGAAGAACAAAATCGATTAGATTCCCATACAAAACCCAAAACATCCAAGCAGGCCAATGAAGTGAAAATTGTAAAATCATTCAAATACTTAACTAGAGAGCGAGCTTTGACACATTTCATTCATTTTTAATAGACTTCGACTCTCGATGGTCCGATGGTCGGGGAGCAGAAAAAAAAGCGAGCAATTAATCATCTTTCGTGACTCACTCCTTCCTCCTCCGGACCGGGATTCGATCCGGCACCACGCTGGAACTCGAACCGAGCAGAGGGATATCAATTATGTGAGAAACGGGAGTGATAGTGCAGTTTTTCTGCGCTGCTTGCCCCTTCGTTCTTGCTAGAGCCTGTCTTAATTATGCTTTTAAATATTTATAACAATAATAACAATCAAACACATTGAGCACAAAACCGCGCCAGGAGGTAAGCGAGTGCTTGCTACCGTTGCGCGCACATTCATTGTTGTTGATAGCTCATTGTGACATTTAAAAATCTATTAGGCTGCATTACGTCAGCGCTTTTCGATCAGCGCGGGGCTCCTGCTGGGTCCCACCGAAGCCACCGAGTGTGTGGAAACCGGGGAGTGCGGATTTCCTCTTTCATCGAGAACCGGTTATAGGAGGGGAGCGGGAAAAGATCGCGCCCGTTGAGCGCGCTAGCGAATGACGGATTTCTCAGCCGAGTAGGCCGGTCAAAACAATAGGTCATAATCAGCTTTCGCACCTCTCCGAAATGTTATTAATTGGGGCCTTTTCACTTTCGGCGCTCTAATTGAGTTGGTACAAGTCAGCGCTAAGTAGCAACAAATGGAGGTAGTTTTGTAACAGTTGAAAAATTTGAGTACAAATTTGAACTTTATTCAAATCTTATTCATCGGACGAGCTCGAGGTCGGATTTTCATAAATTTTCAGTTGGAAGTGATTTTCCCCGCATCAAAGTAGTCATAATTCATTGGGTAAAATACGGGCATTCGAGGGGTGCTTCGACGGAAAGTCGGCAATAAAAAGCTTGAGTGCACCTAAATGCCTACTCAGGCCGGACCTTTGCCAAGCTAACGCTTAGAAAGGAGGGGGTTTTGAAATTAGCATCTAATCTGAAAGGCTAACAGCCATCAAATTATCATAGCACTCTAATCTAACGCTTAATTCAACACCTGTTTATGCTGTTTAATGTGAGGTAGACTACTCGGTACCCCTCGGTCGATCACACATACTCATAGTTGTTAACCCAGCCCGGCCCAGCTAGAGATATAGAGAGAGAGAGAACACACCGGGCAGAGTTAATCTTTCGTAACTGAGTTATGTAGATTGCAGGCTGCTTGTGAAACAAGCCATTTAGCACCGACTACAAAAGTCTAATTGACGTTTCGATTCACTGCCGCCATCGTCGCCACCGCCACAACCGCAGCTGCACTACCGACGCCATCTTGGCGGCGGCGGCGGTGACCGTTACTCCCTAACGAAGTTTTCATTTAATTAATACAAATTGCATGAAATCGCGAATTTGCATTCCGGCGCAAACGAAAAAAAAAAATCTTTATCATGACTTGTCCAATCAACCCTACTGTAGACTGCGGTGCTGCTGCTGCTATGCAGTTTGATGCAACCCTGCGAAACGTCAAACTGAGTCGACGTGATGGCGACGAGGGGTGCGCGCACACAAGTTAAAAAGAAACAATTTTCTTCGTTCCTCGTCGTTGCTTCGCTGACTGTCGCTTTACACCGCATATCAGCAGCATCCATGCCAGCGTCCGAACAGCGCCGAGCGGAAAATCACTTAAGCTAAAAATTATCATCATTTTGTCATGTCATGTCGGAGTAATTATAGTTTTATTGATTTGCAACCATACACATAATAATCATTTATATTCTTTCTTCGCGGGCTTCAAGGATTTCGCTGCAGCTGCTGCTGCAGCGAGCAAAAATTCAAAGCTTATTAATTGTATTTCTCCATCATTCGACGGACGCGGTGACCGCAGCCAATCATGCAACAACGGTGGAGCAAAAACAAAACCGAACCCGCAAAGCGCATGAATTTTAATTGAACGCGAATAATATCCGTTATTTCGACTGATCGCAGCTCCAGCAGCACATAATCTGAAAATCATGGACCACTCAAAACTGGCCAATCTCCGAAGCGCTCCGGAGTGGAGCGAGCCTTGTTAATTCGAACGTGTGCGCGAGCCAAACGAGCGCCTACTTCGGTTGCTAATGTCAGTCTGCATTACCGTCATCATCTTAAGGAGCCGGAGCCGGGGCAGAGGTTGGCTGCCATCGAAGTATGTGTGAAAATTACCGACCTAATCACACGCGTGCATACACTGCGACCGGGACCGCTGCTCTCTTGGTTATGTTTACAAATCCATTAACGTCACCGTGTCGTCAGCTACGGATGGTTGTTGTAATGTGCCGCACCATTTACCAATACCGATACTGCTGAGTCTCGGCGGGTATGGTGTGTGAGGTTGTAAAGTTGTCGGTAAACTACATACTCTGCGGAACGCCAATCTGATTACCATTATCTTCCGCCGTTGGATGATTTGGTTGATGATGATTGCAGTTGCGGTCCGGCCACCAACCACCACCTCCGACCGCGTCATAAAGCATTTCAAACGATATGTCATCGTATTATGGAGCAAATCGAGACCTGATTATGGCAGTGAGTGGAACTAGCTTTTAGCGGTAATCTGGTTTCTGTACATACTTGTTTGAGTTAAGTCTTAGAGCAGAGAACGGAATATTTCCATCTTCAGCCTGAAGCGCTTCTCGAGGTTCATGCAATTTTCTTTCAAAGGTCTCGGAAGGTATTGCATTTCCTGAAATTACTCCTGTTAACGACATCTTTCTATCTCGTTGCAGTACACTTCCATCTTCACCTTAAAACCCATTTCACCTTAACGATCAATTAACCATACCTGGGTGCAGTCGAATTCTACGTTTTAGTTGGGCTCCCGTCAGTTGGGTTGTAGCCCACCTCAATCGAAGACAAATGTCATTTTGATGATAATAATCAATCGGTGTATCCCTTAACCAATTTTCAGCTTGACAGCTTAGCCCAACTAACGAAAGCCTTTCAGTAAGTAGGCTATGTGTTTAGCCCTAAAGCCTAGTATACAGATCGAAGCGAAACGAAAATTGAAGCACGCGAAAAATCATGAAATTTCACTAGCGAAAAAGGTTGTGCAGTTTACAGTTCATGTGAAACGAAATCGACCAGTTTACACCTCTGCACTGTGGTCCAAAACGGCAAAAAGTGGAACTTTATTCCTAGAGCCTAGCCTTTACATTTTAGCCATATAGTGTCTTGGGAAAAAATGTTTGTATAAATATCTTACATAATATAAAACTGTCAAAAATTAGTCATGTCTTACTATGCAAAAAATAAAAACACTAACTTTTTTCTTTGAGGATATAGGAGAACAATGTCTTCAGCAAAGTTGTAGACAATGTAAAAACAAGCAACTTCATTCAATACGTCAAAATTCTAAATCCTGTATTTTCAGAGTTATGGAGCTTTTTCTATGGAAGTTCCCTTAAATTTAGTTTTTCATACTTAACTTCTTTAAATTTCATTTTTCAAGTATACAATGTTCTAGACAATTATTCAAACAATCAAAACACACGTTTTTGCTGAAGATCGTGAATCATTACAATTACTCCTTGTAAAGTTATAACAACTTTCATCTTTATTTTTCCATTACTTCATAAGCTTTTAGGAGAGAATGGGGCAAGTGAGGACACAAAACCAACTTTTTTTCTTGAAGCTTAGCTCAGGTACTATAAAGTTGAGAAGGTTTCATTTGTCGCTCCCTTCCCAAATTTGAGTACAAAAACCTTATTATTTATGGTTTTTCATATATTTTTCACTTTCTTTTTTAGGTTTTTTATACATAATTTTTTAATCTTTAGTATTTGAAGTATATAATGTTCTAAATAATCTTAAAACAGTAAAAACACATGTATTTGTAGAAGACCGTTAGTCTTTACAATAATGCATTGCAAAGTTATAGCTTATTTTAACTTTATTTTGCTTTATTTTTTTGTTTTTATGGGAGAATGTGGCAATGGGAACACAACATCATCTAGCCTTCTTGAAGCCCAAGTACCAAAAAGCTATGCAGATTCAACTTCACCCTCCCCTCCTCCTATTTGAGTGTGACAACTTTACGCTGTTACATATTTTCTTGTTTTTATAGAATACTTAATATATTGAACATTCGCTGCAATAAAATTATAGCTCAAAAATAATACACCATGTATTATTTTTGAGCTATACGCGAATAGCATAACAGTTTGTGTGATTTCACTGCCTGCTGGCAGTGTTGCTGATATTTAGGTGTATGTGTCGTGAGCATTTTGACAAAGAAAGAAACTGAATATGTTATTCGCGGAAGTAGGGTAAATGTCGGCTTCGGCACCTATTGACTGTTTTCGGCAACCAAAATTTAAACGTTAATTTCACTATGTTTTACCATCAACACACTTCCCTGAATGTATCCAAATGATTCTTTAGTCTTTCAGCTTCAATCTGATTATATTTGTAGGACCGAGCAATCCTGTTATGCCAGATTTTTCTTCAAATGAAGCATACGTACTACAAAATGGGGCTGATTTCGAGTTGCCGATAATAGAACAGCTGGTTAACACGCAGTTCTAATGGGAAGGTTGCCGAAGAAAAAGAGGCTGCCGACAATAGTCACACTCACCTGAGAAGTTTAGAGCGTTGTAAAAACGCTTTCAAACAGTTTTGAAGAATTCTGTCGATTGGAATGGATAGAGAAGCAAGCAGCAGATGAATTGAAACAAACAGACACGTCATATATGTGCGTGACGCTGTGAAAATACTAATAGAAGTGCGGACGCTGCTTAGATTGACGAGAATACGTAAATTCCCCTACATGGTGTATTATTTTTGAGCTTTAATTTTATTGCAGCGAATGTTCAATATATTAAGTTTTCTATAAAAACAAGAAAATATGTAACAGCGTAAACT